ACACACTGTTCTTAATTATATACCAAAACATTTTTATTGCCAAACCTTCTCTTTCAGCACACATGCCTGACTTCCATTCAAAACAGGAGCATGAGTGAAATAATGTGATAATAAAGCAGTGATAATAACACATAGTGCAAATCTGCATCGCACTGGAAGTCATGGACTTAAACAGGAAAAAATGAAACCAGAAAATAATTCCTGTCAAAGTGCGGAAAACAAAAAAAATGAGATTGAAGAACATTTTTATACTAGAAATATTCCATTTAATTTATTATTTTTTCAAAACTACCATGAAATTCTGTAAGTTAAGTAGTTATTTGCAGGAGAGGGAGGAATAGATACATTCAAAATCACAAAGAATACAATGAAATACCTAAACAAAGCATTTCAGATTTTCACAAGTAGATCTATACTTTAAAATCACTCTAATAATCACACTGAACATAATGAGTTTTGCTTAAATTGTAATGAGTTTTCAGCAATACGACCAGCTCACTAGATACAATTCTCCATATCTTTTGCCCAATTGCTTATTTAAGATCTTATTTTAAATTCCTCAGAAGTCATGCAATGCTTCCAAAGGGGAAAGAGAAACTGTTTCAGATCCCATACACCACAAAGGTAGTCTGGACTTGGAATATTAATAGCCAATAGCAGTGGATACCAGAAAAAGGCAGTAAGCTAAGTTATTGTATAGGCAGCATTCCTTCATAGTTCCTGAACCCACAGTGATAATATGTGAACTTTGTTCTAAAAATCCTTTCTTTACCTTGCCAGATAGCAAAATACGCTACCTAGATTTAAAAAAAGTTCATCAGATCAAAGACAGTAACAGTGATGTAGTGAATGAAAGAAAACAGAACTGTAATTCTCTATTGAACACGTAATCACAATAGGTAAGGAAAAGAATTCACTGATACTGATGTCACCATTTCTCTGGACAGGTTTTATCTCATTATAACCAAGTCAGAGGGGGGTGGCTGGGTAACATTTTTTCTGCCGTTATTTTTGTTTTGTTCTGCTTTTTTCTCACTTTTTTAGTAAAATTGTTATCTTTTTTCTCCTTCATTCAGACTCCTCATAACTTCAAATTTTGTCAGTATCTGGGGGAGAGAAATAAATGAAGGAGAAGGGAGGGTTTTACCTCATTAGAGGTCCCTCTCCCTGAATACACTGTCATTAAACCAAGACACCTCAAAATAGCAGCTACTACTCATTTCATACTTTGTTCAGCTTATTGTCTTCATTGTTCTGTGTGAGACCCCTCAGCAGAATCACATACATGAAGAGGTACTTCCTACGCAATTTCAAGAGCAGCTGGTGAGGAAAAGCTGGCAGGGATAGATAATGGTAACAGCTTTTTCATGTGTCTGAGCAACTCACAATTTTTCAGTATGAAATCTGTGGATTCTGAAATGATACTAATCTACACTAAAGGAGATTACAAGTTATTAATCATAATCAAGGAAATGAAAAACTAGATGACTCCTTTGGCATCTGCATGCTATATCAAACTTATCTGATGTTTTTAAAGTTTTAAAATGTAGTAATATAAATCAGATTTATGGAAGATGAGGTGTCTTGTATGTAACCTGAAACACTAAAAAATTCCTAAAAAAAAAGTGTATTGGCTTTGTCTCAGCAAGACAAGTTCATTATTGCTGAAGTATTCAAGTAGCTAATCATGGAATAAAAATAATAGCACCAAGAATTAATTACAAATAACTTTTTTAGCAATTTTCTCCTGAGTCTCTCAAGTATAAAACAACCCTTCCAAAACAAGCCAAAATTAGAAACATTAAAAAGAACAGAAGAAGATTATGCTTTTATCTTTCTATTCCTTGCCAATGCAGTGTTTCTCATTTTCATTTTCTGGTCAGACTGAGAAGACTTTTTATTGTGACAGATCAGTTTCTTTTTCAAATATGTGAGAGTTCTTACCAGTCGCAAAGCTGCACTGCAGTCTTTTGTACTTCCAGCAGCCTCAAAAAGAATTAGAAGCCTTCTGTTGCTCGTGTTATATCCATTTTGGGAAGAAGTTTCCCTTAGATATTTTCCACTAATTGCCTCAAAGACTTCTACAATAATCCAAAGGCAAAACAGCAGCGCTCTTTTCTAATATAAGACTAATCTAAATTTCCCCCTGCCCTTTTCTTGTGGAAGCAGGCAAACAGTAAACAAGGAGAATCCTGCTTGTTTGCCTCATGTGCTGGTTTTGGCTGGGATAGAGTTAATTTTCTTCACAGTAGCTGGTACAGGGTAATGTTTTGAATTTTGGTTTTAACTCAGCTGAAGTTAAAGCCAGACACCTCATTTGCAAAAACAGTATAAATGCAGAAGGAAGTTTCCAGAGTAGTTGCTGTGATAAAAGGAGTGGTGAAGGCTAAAAGCCAGATGTGGCTTGAGAACACTGTTTTTAAACTCTGAACCACTTTGTTCAATAGGTCAGGACATATGAAGACTGAGACATAAAAAGTGCATTTTTGTTTAAACTTAATACAAAACCAACACTCCTCTTTAAACTTAAAAAGTGAGCTTACAGGCTGACTACAAACTTTGTAACCACCCTGAACGCAGGGCTTGAAAAAAACTCAAGCCAGTGGTCAATTTATATTTTATATGAAAATTTAAAAAAAGTATTTTGCTTTAGGATAATGAAATCCCTGTTACTAGACAGACAATATCTGTTACTAAATTGTTTTGGTAGTGGCCTTACCTGTTGTTAAAATTAGTCAGTGCTGTGTAACATGATCTAACTTCTACATATTCTGCCTTGTTTCTCAGGTTTTTAAGCCACATTTAACATCAAAAGCTTTGTCTATCTAATCAACAAAATCAAACAAGAATTTCCACTATAATTTGTCATAATTCAGCTAGTTTTGCAGACACAGACAAAGAAATCATGAACCCAAAAAGTTCTCATTGCAATGGTTTAGATTAAAATGTAACCCGAGAAAGTTTATATACATGACATGTATGTCATATATGTCATTCCTGAAGATTCATTTTCATGTCACAGATTTAGAATCTGTAAATACAATTACATGTTAGCCCATCTAAAAATTATTAGATAGCTATTATTATTAGAGTTTTTTTCTAAAATCATCCTATGAAATGAAGATTCAGAGATCACATCAACCTGCTACCTGTACTCCAGAATACTGCAGTAAGGATGATGAGTGTGACAACATGAGAACAGTTACATGACTCTCATCAAGCATGCATTCAATGCTTAAATCACAAATGCCAAAGGCACAATTAATGAGAAAACTCTATAATGGTCTGTGATGGACTGAAATGTCGGTAATGTCCTAAACATTGTCAAAATAATAGAAAGACTTTTTGTCCAACTATAGGGGAGCAACTGCCTGTCTGCAACCAGCAAAATCTGACTGGAATTTGGATTGTGACTGGGGACTTGAGATAAGACTATTGTCTAATCATCTCAAGTCTGAAGAGAAGTAAACAAACAAGGCTCAGGAAAGCAGAATGTATCTGTGTTAAGAACCAGCCCTCGCTGGACTGAGGGGGTGGTGGAGGAGAAGGGTTTTGGGTGTGTGATGGTGAAATCTCCCCACACCAAACCAAAGGAGTAAAGCCCTCCCCTCCAGGAAGACCAGTACACACGGGACGTTCATGTGAGAGGCAGCTGAGAAGGGGTCATCAACCATCAAAGACCCCCAAAGCGCCCCCCCAGCTCATTCCTGAGGCCTTCTACCACCAAAGGACTGCACATGATCCAAGTGAGGCAACAAATCCAGAGCCTGTGCAAGAGGTTGCAAAGCTTCCCCCGCCCCCAGGGGAGGTGCTGGCAACTCCTGAACGTACATTAATCCATCAGACTCTATGTTTTGTGGGACCCTCACCACCAAGAAGACCAGAGGACCTGGACCGACGGGATGCCAACAGGTTACACGGAGTGGTGATATATTTTCTATTTTAATCTCTCTCTTTCACTCACTTTCTTCTTCCCCCCCTCCTTTTTCCCATTTCTTTCTATTTTTTCTTTCTCTGTCTCACATTTATTTTTAAATAAAACCCACACTATTGATTCTGGCATCTGGTCTCATTTGCACCTTAATTCGGGTAAAGGCATTTCTAATAATTTTAATAATCAGATCATAACATGGTCTCCTGAGGAGTATACTGTATATATAGCACAGAACTTTACAGTAATTTAAGGGTTTCTAGATTTGTAACACAGGATTATTCATGCCTACAGGCATATACCAAAAAATCAGAGAATCACTGGTAAAAAAACACTGTGCTGCAGAATACACTATTCCCAGTGCACGAAGAAGAAAATTATTCAGAACTTCTTGAGGTTAGTCATTTTTCATACACTTACAAGCAATTATGCTTAATGGAAAGGAGAATTAAGGGTCTCTCTGTCCAGAATGAGACTAAAAGAAAATACATGTTTTGAACAGAAAAACCCATCATAATTCTTTGGCGTTATAGCAGATGAATTGCTGGAGAAAATACATTGTGATGAATAGTATGTTTAGGTAATTACTAAGCAAGATAATATGCCAGTTTCAGTGTGTCTTGATATCATTTTGATACTGCTTGGAAGGAGAATCTTGTACTTTGGATCACTATAGACTGACCATTTGCTACATGAACATAGTTCTTCTAAACTCTCAGAATTTCCTGAGGCCTCCCAGATAACGTGAATTTCACTCCACGTTTGGAATGCTATATCCTAAATCCTATACAATATAAATTTACTGAAAGAAGGCTACTACCTCTTAGATGAGTCAATAAAAATCATTAGAATCCTTGATATTGCATCATTTTGGTTGATTTTGGTACAGAGAATTCCATTCATTGATTCTGTCAGTCAAACTATAATACGGGAGCCACCTAAATTTCTAACCATGAGACGCCTAATATTTAAGCTGCCGCTTATCTAATCCCTTTAAAATTGCATTTAAAAAATATTTAAGCACATTCTGACTGTTGATATAATTTAAAAAAGTTTTTGTGTTCCTTACCTTTAAAGATGATTTAGTTCGAGGTTCTGTTTTCTGCCTGGTGAGCTTGTTTTGAATAAGTAACGATTGATCTGTACGAGTATCATAATTCCCATGTTCTGAATCGTCTGTATAAGTATCTTTGTCCTTCCCTACATCTGAAGGAAAAACAGAAGAAAACAATGGGCTCATTTTAGATTATCGTGGATAGAAATGAATAGTATTATTGCAGCCACAGTTGAACATTCATTTTTTGTACACGCTTTTCAATAACATATTCTATCCCTTCCTGCAAAAGTTTTTTACTTGAACTGTTATCATCTTTATCTTCAAGTAGAAATGACTTCTATTTTTAGGAGACAGCCTAGAGAAGTAGGGTTTCACTATGGCTTTACAGTAGTTTAAAAAAAAACCCACAAAGTGATTATGAATATTCACAGTTGTTGAGACTCAAAATGTTTTACCAAATAGGCAGGTACATCGTGGAGACCAGAGTAACATGTCATGTCATAAATTTCAGCAAGTAATCGAAATACCCAATTCCCCCCCCCCCCCCCCATGCAGATATTTGAAAATATGCAGCATTTGAAAATTTGCATCTTAAGACACTGCAGTAAGCACTTCAGAACACATTTTAGGAGGGCTACCTGATGGTGGTAGAAGGACACCATGAAGAAAGCATTTTCCTTTTCACTGGATTTAGTTTTAATTGCTCAACAGAAGTTTTCTTGAAAACTTTGTTGAGTACCCTGAGAGAACTAAGGACCTTCTCAAAGCTTACCCACATTGTCCCTCAATGAGTCACGACAACACTTACCCTGTACACCCAGTAGGAGTAAAATGAAGGGTAATGTCTGTACAGTGCAGGACCATGTAAAGTTTTAATGAATGCTGGAAAATGGTCAGACTTGAAAAAATATTTTAAAGATGAAAAAGATGGAATAATTATTCCCACACAACTGGACAAATTGGAAATAGAAACATATTCAGACAAAAAAGTTACCCACAAATCCTGAGCCAAGTTCTCATCTCAGCTTTCACATCAACATGGGAAAAGTCAGGAGGACTAGGAACAGCATTTAGCCCAGTAATTCTAAACCCTAAGGAGAAGCCAAGTCATGGTTGCTGTGGAAACCACAATCTTGAATTTTCTGAATCTTATATTCATAAAAGCTCATCTGCAACAATAAAGTCTTTTTCATGAAGTTGCTCAGTTAAATTTTCCACAGTAAGTACAACAGAAACAAAAAAAAAGAACAAAAACAATTATCTCACATACCCTAAACATTTCACATTTCTGAGATGGAATATTAAAAACCAGAACATTTCCAAGCACCGTTTTTTCTGCAGTTGAGCTACTACATAATGATTACACAAACTGTTTCCCTGGTAATTTCTGATATTGACACTAACCTTGGTAAATCTGTGATTGGATTTTGTCATGTACAAAATAGCTAATTTTAATCATCAAAGTGCCTAACTCAGGCACTTAATACACAGATTGCTCTCTGGTCAACAAAAATGAACGTTGTAAAAGGAAGGTTTTACGTAGCAGGTATACAAAGTAGGAAAGAGGACACTTAAACAACTTTGCAGACTTGCCTCATGCCCAGGGGTGATGAACTCTTAGTTTTACTACAGATTAAGAGCTTGTAATAGAAGCATGTAAAACAAAGAGACAGGACTATGAAATCATAACTAGGTCATTTAAGCAGAAAGGAAGACTATACTTACATTAAGAAGTCTATTTTTATGAGGGAAGTTTTAGAGGATTATGCCCTATGAGTACACCTAATACCAAAAAGAAAACAAACAGCCTTTGCAAAACTACCCAGTGCTTCATCTAAGCAATCTGAAGTTATAAGTTTTTCTTCATTGCTCAACACACTTTACCTGTTAAACATTCTTATGCTTTCAAGGACACATATTTTAAAATGCAGCATATCTCTTCTGTAAAAAAAAGGATCATTTCTTATATAAAACTTAAAGATACTTGCTATTGTATTTCTTAGAAGTTGATTACTCACTTTATGCATGTGAAGCACTCTCCCATTATATAATGATATTAATACAGTAAAAAGGGGAGCAATTCATAGCATTTAAACATTGCACTTGAATAAGCATTTGTTACACTTGTCTAAAAATGTCAGACTGCGACATATCATACAATGCATATTTCAAAAGTATATTCAGAAGTGTGCATTTTCCTTAACATTCAGGTAGTTTTGGGAACTACTGTCAACAAAACACCTAAAATATGGTTTGTAGATAATTTCAACAGACTAGTACTCCCATTTATCTCTTCTGCAGTATATATTAAAATAAAATCTTTAATATAAATAATCAGACTCAAAGAAAAAGTTCAATAGAATGCATCATATTTTTATACCAAAACAGGTTACAAAGAACAATCACAATGCATGTGTGTGTTTTGGGAGGTACATTTTGTTTCATAACTTTCTGCAAATTTCTTTTGATTATTTTTAATGTTTTTAAAGAACAGAGAATGAAATATGTTGATTTTAGAAAAAGAACTTGAGAGAAGATAACAGAAATTAAACTTTGCTACTAATAGCATTGACTATGTTTTTCTATTTTTTATGACCAGGTGCTATTCCTGTAATAAGGTATCCACTACTTCAATTTAAAAAAACTCTTTCTCCTGTAATTTTCCCACCCACTAAGCCAAAATTACATTCCTTTAAAGATAAACTTGTATACTACGAAGCACAGTGATTTAACTCCTTGAGACTTTCTTCAATAACTAGAGTTTCTAAGCTTCTATGACATTCTTATATAATGTTTGCCTATAAAGTCTGTTTTCTGTCATCCATTCCTCCCCAGTCTCTATTATTTGGTCATGTATTTTATCTGCCATTTGGGATTGCCACAATCCAAACCAAGACAGCATCCCTGAATGCTGAGTCTGAATTTGTACTGCCCAAGGATGTTTTTAATGTAACTTCCCCCAAAAGCAATAATATGGACAAAAAGTCTATTTGACTTGCACTGGAAGTATCCATCTTTAAATTCAAACGTGGATCTTTATTTGGCTGCAGCTCCATAAAATGTCATGAGAAAAGCCTGGCTGCCTGAAGTTCTCTCCCTCAGCACTGTGGGAAAGCTACTGTTTACTGCATTTTTATTTTCCACCAGGTCCCTGCCCTATGACAACCCATTTGGTTGTTACTGTCGAGATCAGCTGCCAGTGCTCCTTGTTCTGGTACTTCTTGGACAGGCTCTAATGCCAACCATCACAACTAGTCTGCTTCATTTGGAGGGGTTGGGGGTAGGCAAGAAGCCACAAGAGGAAAAAAAAAAAATCCAGTTAATATTGCTCTAGAAGCTCAGGCTTTTTACACCAATTGACAGAAAGATGAGCCCTCAACAGACCTCAGCTGTCACCCCCCTCCCTGGGCCCAGCAGGCTTGTGGACTCCCCATCCCTGGAGGTGTTCAAGGTCAGGATGGACGGGGCTCTGAGCAACCTGGTGTAGTGGAGGGTGTTCCTGCCCACAGCAAGGGAGTTGGAACTGTTTAAGGTCCCTTCCAACCTTAATCATTCTATGGTTCTATGTTCCTTTTGCTGCTATTAATTAATGCCATCCCGTCTGTGCTTTGCTGGGCACAGCTGAAAGACATGAGCTAGGAGCATCTCATTCATATATACTGAGTCCTTGCTAAACATTTTCATTTGGATTTTTTAAAACTAATTTTCTTCTTTAGAGAGCTAAATAAAGTTGATGCAATTCTCATTCTCATCTGTGTAGGCCTAATCACTAAAATACTACTCTATCAAAATGTCCACCAATCAATATTTAGATGTTGAAATATATCAGCTGAGCGGATGTGCTGTATTCAGCTTTTAGTTAATCTACTCTGTCGGTATTAACTCAGTAAGGTAAAAAACCTTTAGTCAATGTGAAAACACGCCAAAGTCAGCAAAGAGCGCAATAATTGTTTACAAAGCACTTTTCCATTTTTCCTCTACTGAAGGACCAAAAAACCAAAAATATAAAAATATCTGACCTGTTGAGGTGACTCCTGGATAAATACAGCTCCCCTACATTAATGCTAAAGTAAACAGAGTTTCCTGAAAAATTTTGAGACTGTGGAAAAGCTCAAAAGATGTAAAGAAAAAAGGGAAAGGGGAGGGCAGGGGGGAAAGCATGGCTGGGGTAAAACAAAAAGTCTGCTGCAGTGGGAGGACTGCAATGGGGGATGGGACTCATGTATGTTCATGACCACGTCCTCAAACCACCAAGGACATCGAAAGGACGTTTGCCTTCATTCCTAACCACTCTCTTCTTTTAGTTTTGAGTACTTTGCAGAATTATTTTTTTCAGGTCTCCTGTGGTGGGTTGACCCTGGTTGGATGCCAGGTGCCCACCAAAGACACTCTATCACTCTGCTCCTGAGCAGAACTGGAAGGAGAAAAATACAACAAATGGCTCCCGAGTCAAGACAGGAACAGGGAGAGATTAGTCATCAATTACTGTCACGGTCAAAACAGACTCCACTTGGAGAAAATAAATTTAATTTATTACCAAGAAGTTCAGAGCAGAATAATGACACATAAAACTAAATCTTAAAATACCTTCCCCCTGACCCTCCCTTCTTCCTGGACTTTACTCCTGGGTTCTCGACCTCCTCCCTCAGGAGCAGTACAGGGGAATGGGAAATGGGGGTTGCATCACACACTGTCTGTGCTACTCCTTCCTCCTGAAGGTGGGACTCCTCACACTCTTCCCCTTCTCCAGCATGAGGCCCCTCCAATAGGAACAGTCCTCCATAAACTGCTCCAGCATGAGTCCTTCTCATGGGCTGTAGTTCTTCATGAACTGCTTCAGCGTGGGTTCCTTCCACAAGGTGCAGTCCCCTCAGGAACAGACTGCCCTAGCATGGGTCCTCCACCAGATCACAAGTCCTGCCACCAAACCTGCTCTAGTGTGGGCTCCTCTCTCCACAGGTCCTGCCAGGAGCCTGTTCCAGCATGGACCTCCCAGGCTCCTCCATGGGCTGCAGGTGGATGTCTGCTCCACCATGGACCTCCACGGGCTGCAGGAGCACAGTCTGCCTCACTCTGGTCTTCACCATGGGCTGCAGGGGAATCTCTGCTCCAGCTGAAGTTGTCCGTATGTATTTTATTTCCTCCCTGA